CCATCCATCCATCATCCATCCATCATCCATCCATCATTCCATCCAACCATCATTCATCCATCCATCATCCATCCATCATCCATCCATCATTCCATCCATCCATCCATCCAACCATCATCCATCCATCATCCATCCATCATCCATCATCCATCCATCCATCCATCCATCCTTCCATCATCCATCCATCCATCCATCTATCATCCATCCATCCATCATCCATCCATCATCCATCCATCCATCCATCCATCCATCTATCATCCATTTATCCATCCACCTTCTTCACTCTTCTTTCTGAGACCTACTTGCTACTTGTCAGGTGAGTGGTGTTGATGGAAGTTGTTTCCATTGGAAAATCCTTGTTGTATTTGGTCCAGGTGATGGTGGGAGCAGGGTAAGCATCAACCTCCACATTCAGCTGCACCGTGTTATCGAGGATGGATGACAAATTAGTTTCACCTGAGGACCAGAGGTAGACRTAACCTCGGTCTGCAGAGAATGAGGAGGTTAGTAGAAGTGTTTACATGTGTGCTTTTGTGTCTGTCTCTGTATGTCTACTGACCCAGAACAGTTACTGTGATGTTTTTCTTCACTGTTCGTCTCTGGTTTGTGTCCAGCACCTTACACACATACATACCTGTAGGAAACATACCATCACATCACCATGACAACAAGGAAGTCAAACCTCAACTAACCATGATCATGGTTTGATTTGTTCCCATAATAACTCTTTAATGTAAGTAAAGTTTTATTTATATATCGCCTTTCACATAAATAAATTCACAAGGTGCTGTACATTCAGGGGAGGGGGCAGTTAAGAAACACCCATTCAAGAGACATACAAGACAAACATGGGGGAACAGGTGAAACAGGTCATGCAGCAAACACAGTTGCGCTACCTTTAACCACAACTTGAAATACACAAAAGGAAAACTGAGTTAAAACAACCTGCGAGAGAGCAAGACAGCCTGGGGGTGGGGGCTTAGCTCAGATAACACATAAAGGGCAGGTAAAATGGGGTGGGTTCAGAGGAGTAGGTGACATTGAGGGAGGGTGGGTCCATGCTAGGCCCAACCCTGGGCCCATCCAGAGTCCAGAGTCACATGATATTATTGTCTCTACTGAGTTTGCTAGAGTTCAGAGATTTTCCTCCTCCTCAGCCAATTGAGTTCCAAGGCCGGGTCGAACACGGGTGATGGGGTGGGAGCRAATCCAGCTCTTAGTTGACATTCCATCCTGGGGAGGTTAAGATAAACACTGCCATCAAGGCTGTGCCACTGGGAGCCAGATAGATAATCCAATTGTTTTGGAACAAAGCAGCCTTGAATTTCTTGCTGCTTTTGAAATGTCTTTGCTGCAAACTCTGAGGTGGCGAAAAAAAAGCCAATCAGCCGAATTTGGGATCATTCCTCGCCTCTCACTGATTGAAGCTCACCCAGATGTAGTCCATACATGCCGAAGGGTCGCTCCTGTGATCCTCATCAGAATCGCATCCAGTTTGCGAATTTTCCCCCCAGCTGAGTGTCTGTGTGCTACCAGCCCGGCAGAATCCTTCAAGTGCAGCCGACAGCTCTTCAAAGGCCCRATCCACTGTCAGGGTCACTTTCACTTTTCGATAAATCTGGAACCCTCCTCCGCCGATCAGCAGGAATCCAGTTATCATAATCTAAATAAAAAATGATCTTCCGTGTCTTCGATGAAAAGAGGTGCTGGCATGTCAGATTCCAGCCCCAGGAATCAGACAAGTCCAGCAGCAACCATTCCACCCAGACAGCCACGCTCCCCTCATTCCAAGTGTAGAAAAAAAAATAGTGTCAGTTTCATTCAGAGTCCAGTTGACTAAATCCATAATTCCTTTAGTTTCAGATGGAAGGTGAAAAAAAGAGCTCAAAGAAGCAAAAGCAGCGAAGCAGGAAGGGGGGGGGGGGGCAAACAGAGCGAAAAGCATGTCCTGCTCCTCTGAAGGCCAAGCAGAAGAGCGGATGTCACAAATCTCATATGAGCCTTGATTCTCTCAGTACTGTCTTACAGGCAAAGACTTCTGAAACCCACCTGAATCAGCAAGTGTTGCCTTAGTGATGTTGATAAAGGAGTGGATTTGATTGGGCAAGATGTCTGTCAGAGGTTCTATATCCTGTAGACAAAACCTTCCATCACAGTTCAGACAGAAAGATACAAGCCTAAATATTGTATAATATTGCAGGTCATCTATGAATAATAATTAGTAGTAGTAGTATTACTACATATGTATTGCTGACTACTAAAGGTCTACTTCTTTTTTAGTAATAGAAAGGTTAAATCAGTTGTCATGTTTTGTTGTCAAAATATGCGAGTCCTTTGTTTACATTTAAACATTAACAAGTAGACTTCAGACAGGCTCGATAGATATCATGTCAGTAACAAACCCCAGTTGTCAATAAAATCAAATGGAGAGCAATAGAATCACAACTGGTCGAGGGTCCAGGTCGGGGGGGGAAAGGTGAAAGTCTTGCTTTTTAAGAAAAGAAATGGCAACTAAAAACTTTAAGGAGACTCCTGTGACCCTGAAAGGAAGAAGCATAAGATAATGGAAGCTGAAAAAATGAGAGTCAACACAGTTTGGGTCATTTTGTGGGAGGAAATCAAACAATGGGGAGTGTTAAAACAAAACATGGGGCTAAGGTCATCTGCAAACGAGCAGTGCCAAAACAAATCAGAACCAATCAGAACCAATGGAAACAGATATAAAAGACTGTAACAGATTATAACTGATCAGAATAAACCGTAACTGACCATAACAGATAAGAACTAAGAAGTAACAGATAATAACTGACTGTAGTAGATAGTAACTGATAGTAACATATAGTAACAGGTAGTAACAGTTAATAACTGATGGTAACAGATAGTAATYGATAGTAACAGTAACATAACTGTTCTCTGAATATTTTTGTCCTCAGAGACTTAAACTGAACTGGAGACTAACTTCAGTATTTTAACTCTTGAGAATATTTGTGAAATATTCTTTATAAATAATTACCGAGAGTAAATTGTTTCCTTCCCAACAGTTTTTGAATGTGTACCAATCAGTTACTGGTTTGGTGTGGACAGATACCTGTTTGCGGGGGAAGTCCCAGGAGATGACCACCACACCAGGGTCTCTGACAGTGCAGTTAACTGTTAAGCCCTCCCCTTGTTTCAGTACGGTTCTGGAAACTGAAAGCTCCATCTCCATGACCTCAGGTACTGACACACGGACAGAGACAAACAGGTAAGTTAACATGTTTAACTGTATGATCTAATAGAATACATCAGCTGATCTGACTTCACCTATGATGCTGTAGACATAGAACACCTGAGATTCCTTCTGCTTGGCTCTGCTGGATGCYACACACACATATGACGTGTCGTTCAGATGACCCGTGAAGCCTCTAGCTGGCTCATACGTCATTCCTGGGACCAGAGTTCTGCTTGCTCGTTCATACAGAGATACATTGAGCTTTGGGTCAGACACCACACAGGGGATAGTATCTATCTCTGTCGTCTTCATCACTACATGAGAGTTTATGGGGACAAACCATTCATCTGGACCTGAGGGGACAGAAAGGAAGAGAGGGTCAGGTGGGCAAACAGGTGAAGCATCTGGAGGACTAAAGTTTATAAAGAGTTCATCAATTATTTATAAAAAACAGAAAAGAAGTTAAAGATTTGTTCAGAAGGAATGAGAACACCACAGTTCTTCAGACGTTCTGTTTTTCTGCTCAACAATTTGTTGTAATATACCTGTCTGTAGTTAACACTTCAACCACCAGGTATAGCTAAAACCCTTTTTACCAAGTTTAAAAGTTTCTGACTTGAATTATCAGACTGACCACATGTTTGATCTGACTGCTGTTATTACACAAATCACCAGGTGGAGATAAAAAAAAACTCCTTCTCCACCTGCCTAACCATCTCAGGTACCTTGTCCAGGTATGAAAATGTCAATGTGTCTGCTTTGTTGAGCTGACGCCTCCTCACAGGTGTATCTTCGAGAATTCCTCCAGGTGACATTGGAGAGCTGCAGAATACTGCTGAAGCCCTGTGTCTCCACTCTAACTCCATCCACCTGAGTGTAGTTTAAAAACGTCCATTTGACTTGACTCCACCCTGAACACACCTAAGGACACAAATAGACCCATCACTGCAGAGACAGACAGGTAACTGTGGAGAGACAGACTGGTATCTACAGAACAGAACAGCATGAGCCGGGACACAATGTCCAACAGAGAAAGAGACCTGTCTGGTTTTACTGACATCAGGTCATCATATAACAGGCAATTATCTCCAATCCAATGTAGTCAGTGAATGCACCATACACTATGATGCATTCACTGACTACATCATCTTCAGTAAAATCTGTCAGACTGAATATTTTCAACCTCAGTCAGCAGCCAGTAACTTCAACATGACCTCGTCAGACCAACAGGTGTTTCTCACCACGGTGAAGTTGGAACCTGATTGGAGCAGAAGACCTGAGGCTGAGGGCTCCAGCTCAAGAAACATGGCCTCTTCAGGAAAAACCAGAAAGACCCCTGCAAACAGACAGACAGGTAGGAGGACAATTACTGTTGATATTTGTCTAAAACAGGATGGACAGACATTAAAATACTGTTTGTCAAGAGTATGTCAGTTCCACAATGCTCTACAACCATACCATACCATACCATACCATACCATACCATACCATACCAT